GAAAGTCGATGATTGTGATGGAACTGAGGAAGAAGAGTTAGCAGAAAACCAGGAGACTGAATTCAAATGCTGACAAGAACTGGCCATGACCATTCTCTCTCCAGACATTATCAGCAAGATTAGAGTGTGTGTTTGTGCAGAACTGGGGCAGCTGAGCCCTACCACGCTAGCAGTCACTGACAGAAATAGGCTAGTGAGACAGGCTGTGCTTTCTAGCACTTTCTGTCTAAGAAGATTTTTCTAAAATCAGAGCCAAGGCACCCATCTCAGGTATGTGTATGATCCTCATCAGCAGGCTACCCTCTTCTCCGCGGGGAAGCAGGCAGGAGAGCAGGACTGCAGGACTGCGATTGCAGTGGGACTGCAGCGTGCCCACACCCGACCACAGCCAGAAAATGCAGCTCAGGAATAAAAGGTTGACCACTGCAAAGGGAGAATCAGTTCAGAGCTGGATTTCTAAATCACCTTGTTCTGTATGTGCTCTGGTTTAGCAAGTACATCTCCAAGCCTGACTTATGCACAACTTGCGTTCAGAAATCTTGGCTGAGTCAGGGCCAGTATCAGGAGCTAGAACGTAACACTCTGCATCTCAGTTTTACAGCCCAGTATTTCAGATTGCCCTTATCCATCCTGCCTCTCCAGAATGTTCCGCAGCACTGAAGCAGGACCATGAAGCACTTAACATGATCAACCATGAATATAACTGCCTAGCAGCGTGTGCGAGTACGCACTGCAGGGAAAGGTTGGTAAAAGTGTCAGCACAAACAGCTCAAAGGCTTTTTGACACCAAAGGGATCAAAACTCAGCCTTCTGGTTGTATGGTTTAAATTGCCTCTCTTTGTCTGAAATGGTCTGTTCTATGAGACTTTATTCTGACTATCATGATGACATGTTTAGGATTATCATACGTTATAACCACTGAACTGGAATGGAGAGCATTTCTACGGTGTGCTTTCAAAATGAGAAACTTAAGTCAAATGTTAATGTAAAAATTATGCCCACTGGATTTTATAAAGACTTCTAGTCTGTTTGAGGAGACTGCAGAATATATGGTTTACTATTTTCTGTACCATCATCAGAAAAAGATTTATCTGCATGTGCATTTGTGCTTGGTGAGTACTTTGGGCAGTGACTATCTGCTGTGTGAGAAGCTAAGTATGTGCATGAAGCCCTGGCTCTTTACACTGAGACAAGCGTTTTCATTTAAAGGAAGTTTTGCATAGGCTTGCACAGAAAGTTTAGGCTATCTTATTACTTCTGGCTCTCATGCTAATGTATGGTATCAGCTGGTTAATTCATGGATGTACTAAATAGCTGAAATACGGTATGACTACCATAACCCACAGCCTGAACAGTATGCTGAGTTCAAGCAGGGATTTGGATAGTAGATGCCCTTAAAGGTGACTTTCAAAAGAAAAAAAAAAAAAGAAATATTTGTTTGCTGAGAACTATGGTGTACAGAAACATCCTAAAGGTATTTTAACATCATCTCTTCTTACTCCTCTTTCACGTGACAAACACCTGATTTGACCAAAACTGTTTCCTATTTATAAACATACCATCAGTGAAGACTCCTGGTACAAATGTCTAGTGGCTGTCCCCATGCTAAGGGGAAGGCAGTACTTTCCGTGAACATGAACAGTACCTTACTGGCATCTCTCCATGCTACCACAGTCAAGGCAACAAAAAATTTGCAACTCCAAGGGCTCACAACTCAAGACACAACCCTCCTTTATGTCAAGAATTTGGCCTACAATCCATCGTCAGGGGTAGTTCTTTTCTTTGTCTTCTACTTAAGAGCTAAGATGGCAGATTCTTCCTGCTGCTTTTGTTTTTATTTTAGTCTGACTTGCCCTCTCCCTCCAGACTTTGTTTTTAAAAAATGCAGTGGTCCAGTGGAAGCTTTCTCCCTGTGTCCTTCAATATTTTCCTCTTAAACTTGAATCTCAATCCATTGGCTACCTTGAGAGCTGACCCAGTTCTGTACAGCATGGTACAGAGCCCTTGCTCCCCAGGGTCTGTCACTGACTTGTCCCTGCACACAGCTTATATTGCAGCTACAAGCCTGCCATACAGAATGAAAGGAAGGGGTTAATTTTTTTTAGCTAGTTCTGAAAAATAAGGTGCCACTGTGAGCCAGAATTAAAATGAGAATGAATCCAGACTGCAGTTCTTTAGGATATGCGGTATTTTCTATAGATCTCCCTTTGCCTCTTCCCTTCAAAATCCCACTCTGTCTTTAACGTGTATTACAAGCATTATACTGTTTTATACAATTCTAATTAAGAATAGTTAAGTAATGTCATGAAATCTGCTAGACCAGAAACTAAGATTCTCCCTTTAAATATGCTTCTCTACGAAACAACCTAGTGTTATAGTAATCATTGTGAACAAAGAAAAAATGCCAGACCCTAATCAGCACACAGCAGGGATGGGTCATGAACACGTTTATCTTTCCTCTCACAAGCCCCCCCTGGATAAAGGAAATGCCCTAATACTCAAGGCATCTTGGACACCAGATGGCTGATTATTAGACATTTTATGAAGAGGAAGGAAGTAAAGAGAAACAGCCTGAATTTTCATGGTACTGTAGGGACAGGGGAAAGGAAGGCGGAATGAGGACCTAATCCAAACCTTTCTGACTGGGGAGACACTGATTTCAAAGGACTTTGAATCGGAAGGAACAAAAGATCTGTGCTTGCTTTTCCTTCTGCACATTAATCCTCGTCAAGCACTAGAATGATTGATAGGTGAATAAAACGTCCTTTCTATTATCATCACTGTAATGACTTACTGCTGAGCCAGGTTTTTTGCAGGGGACGGGTTGGAGTTTTTAAACGTTCATAATAATGTTGCAAGTTTTCTTTAGCCTACCTGCAGGCTTTTCATAGACCTGGTCTCCAAGAGCCTGACTCAGTAGAGCCAGCGCAGGCTGTGAGGCAGGAGGAACACCAGAACGCACAGGCAGTTGCTTGCAGAATTCTACCTCCTATGATGGAACTCGACAGGCAATGCCTGCTCCTCCACTAATATGATTTGGCCCAGCCTGTTTTATAGCATCTCAACTTTTAGAAAGCTGTGAAAGCCAGCTCCTTCCATTTTTATCTACTGCGGCGTTCTTGCAGCTCTTCTGAAACAGAGATGTTAGTCCACCCAGGCTCTCCCCAGGGACGACTACGTAACAGAGAGCTACCAGGCATGTGCACCGGAATGCTCAAGGGAGAGAGACCTCACGGGTGTTTCACAATCAGAGGGTGGCAACAGCTCCTCCCAGGTCCCACGTGCAAGTGGAGGGACACAGCTCCATCAGATGTGAGGATGAATCTCGGGAAGAATGCAGATGTTGGATCTAGCGGTTTTTGTGGTCCTGCTCCTCCCATGGAAAGAGATGTGGATTATCCAGCAGGCCCTGCTGATCCCAGGACAGGCTCCTCGCTAGGGGTGTGATGAGAGGCATAATGAATTGCTTGAGAAATGCATGTGGTCACCCGACTTCTGAGGCATTGCGCATACAGATGTGGAAGAAGGGTTGCAGAACTGGAAGTGAGGCCTCCCACGGAACACTGTGAGAACTGGTAGTAACATCTCCCTCCTCACAGAACAGGCTGCCCCAGGAAATATTTGGCTATTTTTTCCTTTTGCCAGTAAAACTGGCATCGAGAAAGAGTTTTGCTGACGGAAGTACGGCACACAGGGGGTGAGGAGTTTCTTCTCCATTTGCCAGTCACCGTAACTACATTTCCCAAAGGCCCTACGCAGGGCGTGCACAGCAGAATCGGGACTCACGTCCTTTCCGTAGGTCTGTCACATCTAACGAATCCAAGAGCACAGGGTATAATGTGAACAGATGATTAACCCGTCCAACTCCTTTTCCTTTATTTAAAACAAGAAAGGGCTTGGGGGAATGAAGCTAATAGCCATGTGGGGTAACAGCTCTGAAAAATGGAATGAGGGACCTGAGCCTTTTTTCACACAGATGAAAGAGGGGCTGTTGTGATGCAGTTCAGTACCGGGCTAATGACAGAGGTAGCGGCAAAAACAACTAAAACCTTCAGCTGTGTTTCAGACTCAGGGCTGTAATCTCCTTATGCAACACACTTGACAAAGCTCTCTTGTGGAATACGAGCCTGCTTTTTCCACCACAGTATATACCCCCTCCCTCACCAGACTGTGGGCTACTGGACTTCATTTGTTTATTTATTTATTATTTTTACTCTTATACCATTTAACGAAATAAACTGGTTGTTCTGCTGCAGATAAAACAAACATGAGGAAGCTGTGCTTGCAGGGATGGGTATGCCTCTCTGTGGGGAAGAGCAGCAGCTCACCTGCCGCAGTGTTTTGAGAGGTAAAGCTGCCTAATTATTTTTTATTATTCCCAAGTTGTTTTATTAACCAAATATTTGGGTTTTTGCCTCATGCACATCTAATGCCAATATACAAATTGCACAAGGGGATTATGCCAGCATGAGTCAATCTTGGGTGTGTTTATCCTCGGAGAGACATAAGCCTCTGTTTCTAGAGGCGGGTGTTTCTTATCCTTGTTAGACCTATGAATATCTTTCGCCAACAAAATTTGTCACTTTTCACTGTCGGCATGTCTGCTGCTAGAACAAACCCCGCAGCCTGGCAGGCCTCCAAGTGGGGTGGGGGCTAAGTCCTCTGTGACTATCATTATTTAGTATTTACATTACAGCAGAGCTTAGAGGCTTCTAGCTGAGATTCAGGCGTTGCCGCGCAAGCAGAGAGTAAAAGACACGTCCTGCCCCAAAAAGTTTATAGTCTAAACAGAAGAGATCGGTGATAAATAGCAGAGAAAAGGCAGCATTAATGCAACACAGCTAATGCTAAAGCAAGACTGCAAAGCCCATGACATTTTTCTAAAAATAAATGTTAATTTTTTAATTTGCTTTATAGACTATTAATATTTGTATATTCAAGCCTTTTTAAAGCTAGAAAGTTTTTGGTTGCTGTAACAGCTGCAATTCCTGATTACTCACGTGACTCCAGGAGGTGAGGTCTTACAAGAAGTACGCATGGCTCCAGTGGATCCAATTTCTGTCCCATTTCGAAGTTCCTTTCTGCTGACCTGTCTACAGAAAACACTGAGTGTAGCCACACAGCTAGTTTCTTGCGTCCTCCATTTGTGGAGCAAGAATTGTTTCCCTTGGATTGCCCAAGCACAATTGTTTTTCCTCCCCCATGAAAATGAGTTTTAAGAATAACAGTAATGTTTAATTTTCACATGTCATCCTCCATTATTCTCAGCCTACAGTTCAGCCTGCTGTATCTATCCATGCCTCACTGGTGTATACCACTGTCAGACCTCTGGATTTGCCGTTCCATTTTAAAATGGCACCTTGCCATTTTAACCAGCAGAAGACTCCTATTAAATTCCTGGGTTCTCTGATGACAGGTGATACAAAAGAAGGAAAAAATGAGCAGACAGAAAGGAGTGGGTGTTTCACCTGCCCAAGGTGGCCTCTACTGTAATTTGTGCACGAGGCTCACCAAGCAGGCAGCTGAGCAGGAAAACGTCTGTGGAAGAAGTGCACCTACGCCAAAAATTTGCTTAAGGTGCAGGCCAAATCTTAAAATGGTTTGGCTCACTTGCAGGCGATGGAGATATTTTAACTGGGGAAAATGGTGAGGACTTGTCCCATGACTACCAGGTTCATTTTCTCTGTATATCCTATAAAGAATATCCAGCAGCATGCCTAAAAATAGGACTTAAGTTTCTCAACTTCACGGCAGACAAGCATGCCAGAACTACTGTGTATTATTGTGCTGCGCTGCAATGAGGAAGGAATACTCTTACTGTCTGTGTAGGAGGAAGCCTTTGAGAAGAAAATCATCGATAATAAAGGCCTCTTTTATCTGAAACACCTAACATTTCAGCTCTTCAAATCCCAACACTGCATTTTCTTAAAACAGGTTTCTATTATGTGTTAAACACATCAAATAGAGTAATTCAGTCTCATCATCTAAATTCAGTGTTGTGATAGCTGAATGAAATTGGGGCAAGCTAGCTAAAAAGGTAATAGAAGCTTTTCATAAAAGCAGCATGTGAAATGCATCAGTGCTTTTCTTTCTTAAGGAAAAAAAAAAAAAAAAGGTCTTTGCTTTTCTCCAGTAAGCTTATGTTACTGAGTTGAAGACCCTTGATATGGTCTATAGGCCAGGACTTCCGAGAGGTGATTAGCAAGGTTAGGACTTTATTGTGGTAGTTAGCAAAGGAAACTTCTTGTCCCAGAGAACCTGGTCTGTGTGGGGAGAGATATGGGGGGCAGCGGGGAAGAGAAATCCTTTCAGTTCTTAAGTCAGTGGCTTACCCAAGGACTTGAACAGTTTTCTCTGATCCAGTTTAGCCATTCCACATTTTATCATTGTTTTCAAAACCACTGGGTTTTTTGATATGCAAAAAAGGGCCATTGTACACTTCACATAGGAATGAAATACCCAATGAGTTTGTGGTTCCCCGGTTCAAGAAAAGAAGTGGTTGTTTTCCTCTACGGAACGCAGTTCTTACGTCTACCACACATAGGCTGTACATTCCAGAAAAAGTCCTTTACCAGTTACTTCCCTGAATCTCTGGGCAAAGCAGCTCACGGTCCTTCTAGCATTGCCCAGCCATGGCATTTTTCTTTTCAAAACCTCAGATAAAGCAGTGTTTTTATCCACCTTTCCTTATAGATAGAGGGCTGTTATTCTAGAGAAATTATCAAGGTTTCACACAAAGTTTGTGGTGAAACAGCAACCTGAATTTAGTTGCTAGTTGACATGCTTTCCTTCCATTTCTTTCTGTATCTTTGTTTTCAAGGCAAAGACTGTGAAAAAATCACAACAGGATCAACACAGCAGAATTTTAAATTGTCTGTACAAGATGCAAGATGCTGGGAAATACTGCTCACTAAGCACAAATGCTAATAAAGGGGAATAAATTTTTTCCTGCCATTCTGAGCTGCATTCTCCAACACACATTCTCAATACAGACCTTGTATGAAACACGACGTGTTTAAGTAATTAAATAAAGACCCTAACATAGATGTGTGTGACAGCTGAACAGAATCAGTGTCCCATCGTAAGAACAGTATATGAGGATGCTCTGTCACGGCTGGTTTTGTGGGTCTGGAAAAAGGGATACGCTCCCCGTGAAATCCTGCGGGCCTCATCCACAAAATCACACTCCCTCCCCGCTCCCATGTTTACACATGTCTGCTCCGGGTATCTCAGCATCACATCTGCTCAGTGGTCACCCTGGATGACGCAGGCTGCAGCTCTGCGGGACACCCCAGGTTGCAGTCCTGCGCGAACACATCTCAGCGCCAGACCGACGGTTTCCCTGTGGGTCAGCGTGTGCAGCTCTGCCTCTTCTTTCAGCCTTGCTGCGGGGCTGGCATGAGAGCAGCTCCCCTGCGCATAACCGGCTTCCACAGGAGAGCACTGAGCGAGTCCCCCCTTCCCCTGGGAGCGAGACAGCCTCACCAACAGGGGCGGCCAGCGATGCTGCGCGCCCCGAAAGCATGGAGTTTAGTCAGCACATTTTTCCATGCAGGCCCCGAGGGCAGCCTTGTGTGCTGGGACTGGAATGCTGCCCACTTATGGTAGCCAGTTAATGAGGCCGGCACTCCCAACGCAGTACACAAACACTTGCAGAGAATGCCAAGTATCTTGTGATGCACAGGCCACAATTTTCCTAGTTTGCTCCCTTACGCAACGCACTGGGTTTCTTGTCTACTAGCAAAAGGATGTTCTCAGGGGGGTATGCAGAGAACGTCTACAAGGATAACAACCCTGTTAATATCTCCCAGTTCCACAGTCACCTGTATTTGAGGTCTCAGTCTGTCAGTGTTCCACAAACTAAAACTTCCAGTGCTAAACTTCCAGTGCTCCTGAGAGGGGCTATTTCTGACCTCACAAGGTCAGAAATACGGAGGTAACAAGCAAAATAAGGTACTTTCCCAAAACCACAGGACTCATCAGATGGCAAACTAATTAAAACCTAATCCAACAAAGCCCTTAGTGCGTATGAAATTTACAGCATGTGAATAATGACAATGAAATCAAATACTTAACCTGACCCACATTCTTGAGAAAATTACTAAACAGCATATGCCACACTACTTGATGCAAACGCACACAAACTAATGTGGATACCAGTATCCATCTAACCATGAGAAAAGCAGCTCAGTGTCACTGCCTCATGTCCTATATTCATATTGTCGTTACCCCCCCTTTTTCTTTTTTTTTTTTCATAAAACTCTCTTCTGTATTGCCACATGTGGCTCAGATGTCATTTTAGCTTTTAAATCCTGGTGTCAATCCTGTCCAAATTAAGGAGGCTGTCTTCTTCTGTCAGCAGGATGCAACTAACTTGCCTTTCTGGATCCCTCACGTCAGATGAACAGTCCTAATTCTTCTAATAACTGGGAGATGCACGATTCCTGCACTGACATCTCAGTCCTGTGCGAGTCAGTCAGACATGTGGGATATGCAACCAAATGCATCTGTAATGCCGTTCCCTGCACCGTTTTTCTAGAGTTACCATTGTGAAAGCTGAAACCACCATGGTTCCACGAGGCATAATAAAGTTCCCTCCTACTCATGACACGAACGAACCCACACAACTATTGCACTCAAGAGTTTATATTCGCTAAAAGATGTTTATAATAATGGCCACTTCATGTACTAGACCTGCACTTATTCTTTCCTAAGTAAATGTTTATGTCAAATAAAACATGTACCTGATCAATTTATGGAAGATTTAGGCAAGGCTATTTTAAGAAAACTCTCTATGGCCTTAGTAAGTGACTTGTTCATAGCCAGCACCGTTCTGATGCTGGTTTTAACCTCCGGACCTTCAGGTCCTTGTGGCCTTTAGCATCAGCAGACACACAGACGGGCTCATCCCGCCGTCTCCGCGCTCCCTCCAGCACCAAGAGCTGCCAGGGGCCTGGCCGGCCCCCCGGCCCCAGCCGGGCCCTCACACCTCCGGAGGCCCAACACTGCCCCTCACCCCTTCTCCTTCCGTGAACCGGCGCCGCAGACTCCTCTAGACCCAGGTGCAAGTCCTGCCGTACCTGCGGGAGGGCTGAGGCGGGCGGTGGCAGCAGGAGCGGTACTGAGGCGGGCAGGCGCCGAGGGGCTGAGGCGGGTGGTGAGAGGCCGATGCGGGCCCTGAGGGAGGCAGTGAGGGTCTGAAGGGCTGAGGCGGGCGATGAGGGGCCGAGGCGGGAGATCAGGGGCTGAGGCGGGAGATCAGGGGCTGAGGCGGGAGATCAGGGGCCGAGGCGGGAGATCAGGGGCTGAGGCGGGAGATGAGGGGCTGAGGCGGGAGATCAGGGGCTGAGGAGGGAGATGAGGGGCTGAGGCGGGAGATCAGAACAAAAGCTGTTCCTAGTGGTAGGTGAGTGTGTGCACACATTCCTCTTAAACATTTATCTGCTTAAACAAATGGGTGCCACATTCACTGCTGATCATAAAATTTATGATCAGAAAGTCTTAGCTGAAAAAATTCTTTGATGCATGGTCCAGTATATGATTTCTCTGGGAATTCAACCAGGTACTGGATCGCTGCCAACAAGTGAAGCTATGGACGTGGACGTGGACTCCGTGCCCTTTGCTCTGTTTCGTTGCCTGTACCAAAATACATGTTGTCAAGCATAGTCTGAGTCTTGCACTTAACTCTCTGCGCCAGTCTGCAGTGTGTTTGCGTACAGACGCAGAGCAGAGCCCCGGGCTGTCGGAGGTGAGGGTCTGTGTTTACTTCCCTAAGTTGTCGTTTCCCGCGGCACAGCGGAGGGCGGTGGGCTGCAGCGCTGTCTGGAGTACCAGGTGGCATTGAGCCGTGTAATTATTGTGCCTGGGTTAACGCGTCAGAAACGCGTGTGTGCTCGTATGGGTTTGCTGTCGGTTGTATCAGAAGAGACAGGTGCTCCGATACCGCAGAGAGCTGGTGTTGCTGATGGTTGGAGCTGTTCAGCTCTAGGCAGGCTCTAGGCAACTCCTCAGGAATCAGTAGTTTAACCAGAAGCTGGGAGCTCGGGGGTCTCCAGAGCCTGCGGTGGTTCTCAGGGTGGCCTTGACGAG